GAGGGAGGAGGTATGGGGGCAGGTGTAGCACTTCCTGCGGTTGCAGGGAAACGTGCCGGGTGTGGTGGAGCTGGAGGGGAGTGTGGAGCGGACAAGGGAGTCACGGAGAGAGTGGTCCCTCCGGAAAGCAGATAAGGGTGGGGAGGGAAAGATGTCTTTGGTGGTGGGGTCGGATTGCAGATGGCGGAAGTGTCGGAGGATGATGCATTGGATCCGGAGGTTGGTGGGGTGGTACGTGAGGACGAGGGGGATTCTGTTTTGGTTCTTATTGCGTGGACGGGGTGTGAGGGATGAGTTGCGGGAGATGTGGGAGACACGGTTGAGAGCGTTCTCGACCACTGAGGGGGGGGAAGTTACGGTCCTTGATTTCTTTGCTGGCCAATTTGACAAGGGCTGACAGAATTCCACTTTCCCTGATCACAAAACTGAACACTCCACTCACCCTACCCAATTCCCACCATCACGTCAAAGCTTTTAATCAAGCACACATCAGGTCAAATGCAAGAATACCAAGTTTCAAAGGGAATAACAATTTAAACTGCTCTGCAGAACATCTACATTCTGTCAGCAAAGAATCTGTCGTCAATATCGAGTTCAACAATTTTAGGGCTTGAGGCACCTTCTCCCATGTCCTTACCCCAACCCCCACACACCAGGCCTTGCTATCACATGGTTTGCCATTACCCACAACTCATTGTTAGCCACTAATAGTCCCCATTAGCAGCTATTCATTCTTCCAGACTGACCATTATCTACTCCTTTGTCTGTCTAGCTGTTCTCCTCTCTCTTTGGGCTCTATCTCCACCAATTATTTACTCCTTACTCCCTACCTCACCCTATTGTCTGCATAAAAAAACTTCTTCCTAGCTACAGAGATAGAAGGAACTGCAGATGCTGGAGAATCTGAGATAACAAGGTGTAGAGCTGGATGAACACAGCAGGCCAAGCAGCATCCGAGGAGCAGGAAAGCTGACGTTTCAGGCCAAGACCCTTCTTCAGAAATGGGGAAGGGGAAGGTGGTTCTGAAATAAATAGGGAGAGAGGGGGAGACAGAGAGAAGATGAATAGAGGAGAAGATAGGTGGAGAGGAGACAGACAGGTCAAAGAGGCAGCGATGGAGCCAGTAAAAGTGAGTGTAGGTGGGGAAGTAGGGAGGGGATAGGTCAGTCCAGGCAGGACGGACAGGTCAAGGGGGCAGGATGAGGTTAGTAGGTAGGAGATGGGGGTGGGGCTTGAGGTGGGAGGAGGGGATAGGTGGGAGGAAGGACAGGTTAGGGAGGCGGGGACAAGCTGGGCTGGTTTTGGGATGCGGTAGGGGGAGGGGAGATTTTGAAGCTTGGGAAGTCCACATTGATACCATTGGACTGCAGGGTTCCCAAGCGGAATATGAGTTGCTGTTC